AAAAAAATATGTGTACCAAAGGACCCCCCAGAAAATTAGCTGAATTTTAAGTATGTTATAGTATTCATGGTCCTGATCAAAAGTCCTCATGGGCACAAGCGTCCAAAACCTCTAAATTTCGAGTTATGAACCTCAGAAAGGTGCTGGGTGGATGTTTTTGGACTTTTATGGATTTTGCAAGTTCCACATTCTCTAACGTACTTAACGGTATAGGCTCGTGGTCAACCCAGCTGATTTGACAGTATGTTAAAGTACTCCTTATCCCTATCAAAAGTTCTCATGGGCGCAAACCTCCAAAAACCCCAGATTTCGAGTTATGGGCCTCAGAAAGGTGCTGGATGGATTTTTTGGACTTTTATGGATTTTGCAAGTTCCACATTCTCAAACGTACTTGAAGGCATAGGCTCACGGTCAACTGGACTGATTTGACAGTATGTTAAAGTGCTCTTCATCCTGATCAAGAACTCTCATCCCCGCAAGCCCCCGCAACCATCAATTGCGAGTCATGGAACCCCTGAATGACGATGTGTATTCATGCGCGGACGTCTGAGTGTGTGTTCACTTTAGTTCAGGTATGCAACCTAGATGGCGTAGTTGCATCGCACAATACAGGTTCCCCCAGGGAGGTACATAGGTGCCACACAAGAAGAAGAATTATGCTTGCAAAAGTTACCGCAGAGATATTTTCTATCAAAGATTATTAATATCCCTTTGCTTCTATCAACAGTTCTTTTCAGAGCTTCTTTCTCATCAGTTTTCCCATAAATCGAGGCACCAGCAAAATGTAAAGTATCCGCCCATTTCAGTACTCTACCATATACCTACTTGATGCGGCTGACAGGGCTCTTCCGGATTGAAGATTTTCATACAAGAGAGAGGAGGCTTAAAATGGCTTGAGTGGTGTTTGAGGACATATACGCACTTTAAAGTACGTTAGAGAACGTGAAATTCACGGGATTAATATTAGTCCGAAAAAGTCCGAACCATTCACCCAGCGCCCGTCTGAGGCCGATAACTCGAAATCTAGATCTAGAGAACTTTTGATCAGGATAAAGAGTACTTTAACATACTGTAAAACCAGCCGAGTTGACCGTGAGCCCATCCCGTTAAGTACGTTAGAGAATGTGGAACTTGCAAAATCCATAAAAGTACATAAACGTCCACCCAGCACCTCTCTGAGGCTCATAACTCGAAATTTTGAGGTTTTGGACGCTTGTGCCTATGAGGACTTTTGATCAGGACCATGAATACTATAACATACTAAAAATTCAGCCAATTTAACCGGGAGCCAATTCCCATAAGGATTCTGGGGGGTCCTTTGCAGTTTCTAAGAAAAACAGTTTTCAAATTATTTGAAAAAAAATTAGGTTATTTGTTCTATAGTTAGAAGATTATATCTCAGTAGGCGTGCACTTTTGTATACAGGGTGTTAATTAAGTATATCCAATAAATTCAACAGACGATTATTTGAGTGATTTTAAGACAAAAAGTTCATATAAACATTGTTCCACAGATGCATCGTTTTCAAGATACAGGGTGTTAAACTTTTGTAAAAAAATTGCTATTTCATAAATATCTTAAATACCCTTTATCTAATTTTGTTGTAATTTGGAACTATTACTTGCAGTGTTAAGGGGTTAATTTAATCCTAACTTTATTAGATTTGTTAAGTCCAGTGGCCTCCCGAGCTGTAGCTTAACGAATATTTTTGACAAAAAAATGTACGCCACTGACTTTTTGTAATTTTTGTTTTTTTTTTGGATCAAGCAACTTAAAATACTACTTTTTTGTCCTTTGAATATTTTTCGTATCTTGATTAATTTTTGGAGAAAAAAAAATAAAATCCACTTACCATACAAGAAACAAAAAATACTAATATATTAAAATTGATTATTTCTACCCTTCCCAAAAACAGAAATTTTAATTTATTTCTTGCGTTAAGGAAGTACATAGTTAATGGTTCCATTAATAAACATAAATTGTATAATAAGAAATCGAGAAAAAAGATAAACATTTTAAAAGACAATCAATCAAACCAAGCATAAATTCGAGTTACTTAGGGTTCCATTAACAATAAGATATGTTTGCGGTACTAAATTTTGGAAAGAAGAACAGTGCATTGCTGTTAGTCTCTCCATAAACAAAGTATCAAAGTAGCAACACTGCTAGAGGTGAGTACGTCCATTGTCTTTACGAAATCATATCGACGTTTTAGTACGAAAACATGTTACCTCAGATTTCGGTTGGAAAACATGCTATCTCAAATTTCGGTTGGAAAACATGCTAGGTGAAACAGGCCTATAATTCAGGTGTTAATTGACGAATCCTTTTCAAATTTTAACCACTCATGCAGACCAATGGGGTGCACATTTGAGGATCATTAAACTTACATAGGTATATCCATAGGTGTGCTTTAAGGGAAATTAAGAGGGGATCGGTATTTTTTATTAGCGCATAAAATACGGAAATGCTGATGCCTTAGTCTTAATCAGTATCATCGAAAATATACCCAAGGCAAGTTTCATCCAAATCCTATACAAGGTTGTACAGAAAATTCATTTAATACAAAAAATAACATTACATTTTGTATCCACACAGTAAAGCAAAATCCAGTGATCCATACCAAATGATTTTGTTTAAATGAAATGACATTTATAATTTTTAGTTGTTTTGACATAACACGTCAACAAGATTGTTATTAAAATTCTGAGTTTAAAAATAATTTATTGCGAAAAAACATCAGTGATGGCAGAAATTATATCAGTTGCTGACAAAATTGAAATAATAAGAATTTATGGAGAAAATGTTACATCACGTGAAGCTGCAAGAGTTTTTAATCACTGCCATCCCAATCGAACAGTAAATACTGAAGAGCAAACTTACACGAAAATAGATGCTTTCCGAAATAATCCATGGCAAAGCATACGACAGGCAGCATTGAATTTGAATTTAACCCTTTCGCTACGGCTGCAATATAATTTTTTCTGCTTTAAAAATACTACTGGGTTATATATGTCCCAAGGAAATTTTAAAAAACACTGCAAGCATACCAATGCATTATAAATCCCTATTCAAACTGTCCCAACCGTGCTGCTTGTACTAGGTATATATTCGCGTACACAACAGTCCACCTTATTAACACCAGTCTGTTAACCTCAAAATTTATTTAAAAAAATTATTAAAATTTAAAATGTGGCATGCTAAAAAGATAATATTGAATAAACTTGTTCTGAGGGTCTATAAAAGTATTATAGTTATACAAAAAAACGTATTTTCAAAAAAAAATTTATCGTATTTTTGAAACCTAAAATGCCGTGGGACCCTTTAGTGGCGAAAGGGTTAAAGCAACTGCTGAAAGTGTCCCCCTCCTTGTTCCAAGCACTTTTCACACCTGTTCCTCAAAGAATTAAAGATATTTTCTAAGATGCTCGGGGTATTGTTAATTTCACGAATCTTGTCTATAAGTCGAGCCTGCAGATGGTTTAAATCAAGAATAGGCAGTTCAATAATAGTGTTTTTAAGGTAAGGCCACAAAAAGAAATCACACGGCGTAATATCACATGACCTCGGTGGAAATTCATGTTCAGCATTGAGACTTATTAGTCGATTTTAAAAACTTCCCTCAACATATTCATCGTCTCGCCTGCCGTATGTGACCTTGCGCCATCTTGTTGAAAGTAAAAGTTTGTAATTTCGTTTTCTTCCAGCTGGTTAACAAAAGGAGCGATAATTTCTTCTCTATACCTTTGCGCAGTAAGAGTACCATTAAAAAAAATAGGTCCATAAATCCTCCTTCGATTGAGAGCACACCAAACTCCAATTTTTTGAGCGTGTAGAGGGCCCTCGACAAAAAAGTTATCTGGTTTTTCAGAAGACCACATTCTCATATTCTGTGAGTTTACGTAACCACTTAAATGAAACCAGGCTTCATCAGAAAAAAAGGTGATATTATGAAGTTCACCGTAGTTGTTTAAAAACCATTCACAAAATACAGCCCGTCGCGGAAAATCAACTTCATGAAGTTCTTGCTGACAAGTTAAACGATAGGAGAACAAACGCAAATCTTTTTTTAACACTGTGTGGCAGGTACCGACTGATACTCCCACCATTTGTGATAAAACACGTACAGAAGTTCTTGGCGCATTTTCCATTATTTGTTGGACATTTTCTTTTAATTCTTCAGTCCGCTTTTTAGGTCGGCCGCTTCCTTCTTTTCTTGTTACACTGCCCGTTTCACGAAAAACATTAACACAACGCTGAACTGCACTTTGAAAAATTTTGTACTCAACAACGCCGGGAAATTGATTTTGAAATTCTATGAAACATTCCTCAATAGAATACTTCCATATTCCATCAATCTTGCGTCCATTTCTAAAGTAGGACTCTATGATAAACACTTTTTGTTCTTGAGAAAACACCATTTTAAACGCTTTTTAAAACGAAAATATTCAAATTGATAGCGGCGATATAGCGCTTTGACAGATGACGTTTAAGTTCATTTGCTATACGCTACGCCCTACGTCCAAATTTTCAGAACCAACTTGACCACGTTTTTATTTGAACGCTCGTTATAAGGAGATATGGCGGCTACATTGAAGTTAAGAAAATAAACTGAGTTTTGTTATACCTATTTTTTTTTTGTTATCCAGTCTGTATTAGCTTATTTACATTTGTATTGAATGAATTTTCTATACAACCCTGTATACCATTTGGATGAAACTTGCCGTGGGTATATTTTCGATGATACTGATTAAAACTTTCCGTATTTTATTCGCTAATAAAAAATACCAAAAAATCGATCCCCTTTTAATTTCCCCTAGCGCACACCTATGGATATATGTAAGTTTAATGATCCTCAAATGTGCACCCCATTAGTTTACGTAAGTGGTTAAAATTTGAAAAGCATTTGTCAATTAACACCTGAATTATAGGCCTGTGTCACCTAAATCGTAGCCACACTGTATAAAATATTAGTAAAAATTTAATTCTAAAAGACTTACTTTAGTCCTACTTTCTGGTAAATTTTTCATCAACTCTGTGAAGGAATGATGTTCATTTGCACATAAGATTAAAGCTTCAGCTACATTAACGTTATGCACTAAAATAACTCTTATTTTTTTTCGGTATCTAAGGTCAGATAAATCTGCTGCAAAGTTAATGTCTCCAGAAATTAAAACAATTCCTGATGGAGCTGAATGTACTTCAGCAAATCTTCTTAATGATTGACGTAATTTTTCGTCAGCAGCATTTTTAGAAGTTGATGAAACGTGAATTAAATTTACCTGAAATTGTTCATAATTACTAAAAATATATGCAATAAGTATATGAATCTTAATAAGTACTAAATAAACTTTTACCTGTGAATCATGCAATTCTTGAATAATTTGTGGAGTTTCCTTTTTTACGTCACAAACAACTACAAATTCTGATTCTCGGTAGTTTTCCAAAAAAACTTCTCTAATTTTTTGTACTACATCCGAAGCACTTTTGCCTTTGGGTACATGGCAGTTTTCTATGTCCCAATAAATTCCTAAAGGTGGTAACTTATTTGCAAAGTTTAATCTATGACGCTTCTTTTTTACAGTGTTAAAACTTCTGTGAAAAAATTCATTAGTGGAGCTATCTGAAGCTGTTGAGCAATATGAATTATTTGCACTTTTTGTTAATCTAGGAGGAGGTGGAAATTTAAATTTGGGTTTCGTACCCGTACAGTCAGAAAAAATGGAATCTCTATTAAGAGAATCATCACTTGATTCTTGTGTAAAATAGTCAGCCAGATACATTTTTTTTAAATAAAAAATTCTCCCTTCACATTTCGTTACAGATATCGACAACAAAATTTAGTGTATCTTTTTTTTTAATCAGTTGTGCAAAGAAAAATCACATCTTTCACAATGTTTGTCTTATGTCTTATGACGTATCTCTATCTCACAATCCAAATACATCTGATATTAGCAACAAGCACAAAACATATGTTAGTTGTTTAATGACCCTGTGAGTGCTAACTATGGCTATGTTCCGTAATCTGCTAATTTTACTATCAGCGCTATTGCAGAAACTGCAATCAAGCCGCGCCGCGCCATTACTCCATGGCTAGAAATTGGCCTCAATGATTTGTGATCGAGGGGGATTATCCCTCTTTATCCTGCCTCATCTCGTGTAGGCCTGGACAGCCTTC